ACGGTCTAGGGCCTACGGCTGAGGGTTTAAGGTTAGGGGGTTTCCCAAACCCTCAACCCTGCACCTCAACTCCGCACCCCAGCCTTGTCTTCATATCTCGGTACCCCTGAACCCTAAAACCTGTAGACCTTAAAGCCCTGAAACCTGGACCCTAGAGAGTCAAACCCTAAGCCCGAAGCCTGAACCCCAAGCTTGTAAACCCGAAAGCCGAAACCCTACTTGAACCCTGATCCGAACACGCAAACCGCGCAAAATCAACCGACACCCCCTAATACTCCCTAAACCCTTAGCCCTACCCCCACCCCCGCAAGAAATATCGAAACAAATAACAACAACAATAATAACAACAATAATAATGACAATGATATAAGAACATGTTTTATTAAAAATATTATTGCTACAATAAGTATTATTCTGATTATTACTATTATTATTATTTGTATTATAATTATTCAAAAATAATTACAAGTATAAATTAAAGAAAGTATATATATATATACATACATATACATATACATATACATATACATATACATATACATATACATATACATATACATATACATATACATATACATATACATATACATATACATATACATATACATATACGTATACATATACGTATACATATATATACATATATACATATAGTAGAGAGAGAGAGAGAGCGTCGCACTATGGGCCTGTACTTTTGGGTAAAAACAGTGTTTTTTCAAGTTGTTCAGTTGTTTTTGTGTTTTTTGGAGAAGTACAACAGATTTAAAGCCGATGTGGTTTGAAAGATTTGATTCGGAATTCCTCAATATTCTCCTGAGGCTGTTTTGATTGGGAGGGGGAGGCAAACGTAACCCTTGAGGCAGCTCGTAACACCCCCAAAAATTATCTAAACACAAACAATAGCAAAACTAAACCCTGAACCCTAACCTACCTTGCCCCTCCCCCCTCCCCCAAACAAAAGCAAGCGTGGCTCAAGCACTCAAAGGAGGAACCTTTATCCAAATATTTCGAGGGTACATACAACGAGGGGCGGAATCTGAAATACGCCGACACACCCCCCTCCCTGGCTGATAGGCCGATACGCCGGCCACACCCCCCCCCCCCCTCCCTCTTCCCCGCGTAGCTGAAGACAATAACCGCTAATCCCGAAACCTGAATCCCCTGCGCCAAAACCCTAAGAAACTACATCGCTGCCGAAAGGCTCAACAGCACCAGCCATCATCCTCATGATGGGGTATGGGAGTGGGACAGTCTTCTCACACTGCTGGCCAGTAAATGCTCGAACTTGAGATGCTAAACCTTAAAACCTCATTGGGTTGGTTGAGGGTTCATGATTGGCTGTTCTCGGCCCGCAGGTGTTGCGCACTGTCTTGGAGTTGACCGCGATGACAGCAGCGAGGACCCAATACCCCGACGTCCGTAGCCTCCAACCAAGCCCTCTAAGGAAGCGCAACATTCCTTGAGAAAGGGCAGCAAACTGCTTTGAAGCCGAAGCAAGTGACTCTGCTCTAAACCGCAACCAGGGTACGCGCGGCACCCGGCGTCTGAGCTTTACATTTACACTCGGACTTCTGGGGCTGGGGCTTTCTTTTCAAGGTATGTGTTTTGCCTGTTTGCTTTTTGCGGGCGGAGACCAGGGGAGGGCTTAGCTTCTGGGCTTACCAGGCTTGCTTTAGTTCCGGAGAAAAACAGGGGCCAAAAACCCTAAATCCCCCATAAGAACACTGAGCCCTGAATCCTGAAACAAGGAGGAAAAGCAAACTTACCCCCCCCCCCCCCCCACAGAACCCATGAACCCCAAAACCCTGTAAAGCCCAAATCCTGAGTCCAGAGCTGCCGTTGCAGCCTTCATCCAAAGGTGCACTGTGGATCGTTTGGATGGCCCCAGCTGCGCCACCATGGCAGCCTCAGCCTTGGCGGTGTCTCCGCCAGGCGTCTTCTCCATGAAGGTCTTGCAGATCTGCACCTTCAAGTGCACGCTGTGGGCACGCACCTTGGTGTTCTCACCTTCGTGGGACATGGACCAAAAGAGTCTGACGGCGGCCTCATCATCATCCTGGAACTTGATCTTCTCCATCGGAAGGCCCATCTGAAAGACCTCAAGAAGGGGAGCAGTGACCCAGTCTGACTGCTCTGCGTCTTGCCAGATGACCTTGGCACGAACGAGTGCGCACACCCACTGCTTCCCGTCAGCCAACTTCAGCAGGCCATCGGGGCAGCGCATTTGGTTTCCTTCACTGTCGAGTCTGACAGTGGGCTGGGCAACCGATCTTGCAGTTCCGAACTCACCTGCTTGCAGTCTGGCGAGAAGCTCGGAGACTCCGTCCTGTCAAAGCAAAACTCAGCACGGCATCATAACCCTACAGGTCAGAACTGAATGACTGCTTCAAGCTGCCGGCCTCATCAATGTCACGGTGGCCGGACTCGATGCTGAGCGAAAGGTCTTCCAGCCGGAAACGTTCATACCCACAGGAGATAGGGCGCAGCGCCATGGCCCGAAGAATCTGACACAGGAGTCGGAGCAACCCCTTTGCGGACGAAGTTTCTGTGAACGGCAGGGCCCTCCCAGACCTGATTTGCACACCTGCTTGCGACTAACCCCAAATTTAGCTTGCTAGTGGTTAGGCTCCTATCTTCTGGGTTGTTCCAGAGGGACCCTGGCAAGCAAGTCTGACAGCCTCAATCTCACGCACAAATTGCATGCCAAGCTGCCAAGTACCATGTTGCATCAAGTGAACCCCGAATTTAGGGGCCCAACCACTAGCAAACTAAACTGTTGGTGGAACAAGAGTAACCTCCAGGTGCGTGTTTCGGCCGCCGCGGGGGTTCCGAACCAAAACAATAGGGATACAACCGTTGTAAACCTAAGTTCGGGCTTCGGAACCCCCAGCCGCCAGGATTTCAGGCTTCTTCATTTAGTCCCGCAGCCATTAACAACCGAAATTCGTGGTTCGGAACCCCCTGCCGTCAGATGTTGGGGCCGTGTTATTTTGTCTGGCATAGAACAGAAGGGTTGCTCTGTCGAGGCTCTGGCAGGACTGTCTGCGGCGGCAGCCAGCGACTGAAACTGGCCGAAGGCCTGACTTCGACGCACATGACGAAAATGGGGGGGGGGGTTCTCTTTGGCTGAGACTTACGCTTTGCAGGCTCTGGCTGAAACAGCAGCTTCGGCATCCCCTTGTGCGCGTGTGTGTATGCAGAAAAGCTACAGTCTAGTGTAGACGACACAGACATAACGTAGTCGTGGGTGTGAAGTGGGGCTTTCATATTACAGCAATGATGTGTCATGGCCAGGAATGATGCACATCTAGCAATCCCCACAAAGCCATTGTTTTTGCACTGCGTCGGGCTTCGAGAAAGCAAGTGTTCATACTCATGTGACACCTGGTCATGACTGGTCTTGCAGCAGCCACGACATCATAACTATGCACAAGAACTACGACCGGTCTCGTGCACACGCGAGAGCGACAAGTGCGACCAGCCCAACACATCCCACATGCATGGCAGTGCCTACCTGAGACCGGGCTGGGCAAAAGATGTCTGGCACCCCGTACAAGTTCTTCAGAGGCTCGCTGCTTGGAAATCCCATCAAAGCGGCCAGCTCCGCATCTACAAGCCATCTCCTCCGGTCTGGCATCCACAAGAGGGAACCACTTCTCATACATGGCAAACGTCCTGTCTGCTGCGAAGTCTGTATTGGCCTCTTCTCTGGGCTCTGGCTCAGGTCATAGACGACATTCCTGGTCTGACGCACAGCGCCTTGCTCCTGGTACTTTTGCAAATAGCCACGTTGCTTGTCTGTCAACCTTAGAACTTCGAGAACTAATGTCAGTGGTAGGGACAGCAGGGTTTAAATAGTTTAGGGTGCATATATAATATAAGGTTTCCAGGTTTCTTGAACTCGGGCCTTTGAACACAGCCTGGGCATGAACAAGGCCAAAATCTACCCTTAAAGTTCAGACCAAGGGCAGGTAAGCCCATGAATCACTGCAGCCACTGACAGCTGGCAACTTCTTGCTGGCCCTGGCCTGGTTCTCCTCTTGCAACAGGCCCTGCTCTGAAGTCAACAAGAATTCTTCAAGATCCGGCTGCTTCTGCCAGTCCGCCAAGGATTGCGAAAGCCGACTGTACACCTCACGGACGTCTGACACTACTTCAATTTTGCGCCGGCGAAAGAGCACAGAGTACTTTCTTGGTCTGGCTATGATCCTGAAACCGCAATGCCAAGGATGTACTTCCAAAGTCACCACCTCAAACGTGTCCGACAGTAACTCTAACAGGATGCCCTCATCGAACCGAGACATGTTCTCGTGGATGACACTCTTGCATTCACCCGTCCGAATTAGGAAAGCCCACGCGAGGAACAACACTATTCGGTTGTCTTCCCCACGTGAGCCCATGGACGACCACACTTGGCAGGGCGATCCAGAAATATCCATGTCTTCAGCGATACCCTGACCGAGAAAAACGTCTGGCATTCTGCTCCAGATGCCCCTCCAGTCCACTGTCTCGGAAAGTTCCGGCAAGTCCCGAAATCTCTCCATGATGTCGTCGAATATGTGGCAATCCTGGGGCAGCCGCGTTCGAAGCACCCTCTGGCGACTTGGTTGTTTCTCGCAAGCTGAGACAAGGTTAAACTGTGGACCCACACCACCAGTAAGACCAGCAGCAGCGTGCTCCAGCAGCTGCAACGCCAGCTCAGCAGAACCCAGACCAGAGAAATGGGTCGACACTTTCCAGGTTCTGGTCAAACACGACCGTTGCAGTTGGGCAGGCAGCATATGCCGGCCCAGCGCTTGAGCTGCGAGGTACGGCCAGCGAAAAGCCTGCATGATACCTGGCAGGGTGTCTGGCCCAGGGCCCACATGCTGTGGGATGTCTGGCTCCTCCAAGTCCATTTCGTCCACGTCCATGACACTGCGCTGAGACACATCCACGTCAGAAGCATCGTCGTCGTTCAGCGCATCCAAATCTATGACATGCCCACAAGGCTGCGACATGATGGGCCGTGTGTCTTGCAGGCACTGTGGTCGAGTTCCCGAAAGCTCAACCCCTAATTTTTTAAAACCCAACACCACTAAACTAAAACCTACACTGCACCCTGGTCAAACTAAGTCTAAGTTGCAAGCCTAAGTAGCAAGCCCGAACTCAAAATCTGAAGGCGGAGAGCATGGCACTACACAACCGCAGCGTGCAGCAATGCTGATTCGGGTTTTGAAGGGCTCGACTTTCAGGAACCCCAAGCCCCAACAAGCAAGAAACACTGTGAGCTGAGACTCCAGCAGCCTTCAAACACCAAACTCCGGCAGCAGCGTCGAGCTGAATGTCCAGCAGCCTGCCACAGGCAGACTACAAGAGCTATTTGCCCAGCCGGCAAGGTAGTGCAAAACAACATCAACGATCCAACCGGTTTCTTTTCACACTGCACACGCAGCCCCTGCTGTGCTTGGCTTCCCAATGGCGCCATGGTCTGACAGTTGAAGGCAAAACTGTGTTGCTGGCTACTTGTCTGACAGTCGAGGCTAAAACTGTATTGCTGGCTACTTGTCTGACAGCTCAGGCTACAACTGTCTTGCTGCCTACTTTCCATCTATCGCCAAGGCCACTTTAAAGTCGCGCAGGAGCGGTGTATTTCTTTTGGGGTTGTTGGTCTGACGCGAGAATCTGGCCTGACGAAAGACTTCGTAGCTGATAAAGGACTCCGCTGCTGTGTGCAACGTGTCCCAGGCCTCCGGGCTCAGCTTATGTGAGCTTTGGATGTCCTGGTCTGACGCCAAATTCGCGACAATGGCATGGCAAAGCCTTTTGAACTTTGCCCTGGGGACCTGGAAAGGCTTCTTGAGAAGCCGTTTGTCACGTTCGACACGACACGAACGGACGTCTGGCCTGAGGACTTTTTGCCTGGCGTCCGCTTCTTGACGGTCTTGCACTCGGACTTGATGTCTGCCTTCAGCTTCTTCACAGCTGGGCCATTGTCGATCTTCTCTACCTTCACCTTCTTTGCTGCCACTAGGCCACACTGAACCTCGACCTTCGCAATCTTCGAGCCAGTCTGACGACAGGAACTGGCCTCAGACTCAACCTCGCTGTCTGACTCCAGCTTCCCCGCCGGGATTATCTTGCCTTTCACAATCTTGGAGCGCATCCCGTAAACAGCCAGTCGGACGGCAATGGCAGCAGAAACTACGTTCCCCTGCGCTGGCTCAGCTTCTGCTAGCGATGTGCAAAGCAACACCCGTGGGTCTAGCACATGCGAAGCAATCTGGCAATGCGGCTAAAGAAAGTGGAATTGAAGCATCGTGAAATTCCAATCGGCCTGCCAGAGCTTGAACGTTGTCTGAAAACGCCACAAGAAATGCCAGCACTTAGCAAGCGGTCTTGCTCCAAGCAGCACAGCAGCACGGCTGTAACAAAGCAGCTGTACCAGGAGAAATGCTTCTATGTCATGACACTGATCCAGAGTCCGCCTTTGCTGTCAATGAACTCTGCAAAAATGTATAACGCTAAATCCATGATCCTTCATGCTAAACCTGACTTGGAAACAAGTCCAGGAAACTGCTGAAAGCCGGTTTCGTGCCTGGAATGTGTCCCGGAGCATGGTCTTGCGCGGAATGACGCCTGCAGGTTAACTTGCAAGACCCGGAACCCTAAAACCCCTTAAAACCCTAAAAAGCCTCAAAACCCCAACAAACCCTCAAAACCCTCGAAACCCTCAAAAGCCTCAAAGCCCTCGAAACCCTCAAGCCCTCTAAACCCTAAACCCTAAACCCTATTATAACAAGCCTCGGAAACAAGCCCGAAGCCGCTCTCATGCCACGAAAGTGATCCGGAGCTTGGTTTTGCAGGAAATGAATGAGCCATTTGTACGTTTTCTTATGAGCGTAGTAATCCTGCCCTGAACCCTTAACCTGGTGCAAAGCTGAAAGGCACTTACGTGCCGTGAAAGTGTCCCGGAGGCTGGTTTTGCATGGAATTTAGAAGAAACCTGCAGTTTCATAGGAATAAGGCGTTTGTCGCCACCATCCATGCAAAACCAAGCTCTACCAACACTTTCGTGGCACGAAACCGTCCGGCAACGCCCCTGCCTCCGGGGCCACCGCCAAAGGCTCCGCCCAAGGCCCCGCCAAAGGCTATCAGCTTGCATCCTGGAGGAGGTTCAGGGCTTAGGTTGTTGTGAGTGTCGTGTTGTTTCTCTCTTTGTAGTTGTACTAGGAGTTGATTGGACTGTAAAAACCACAGGCTTCATCTGAATTCCACGCAAACCCAAGCTTCGGGACACTTTTCAGGCACGAAACCGACTTTCAGCTTAATTTAGGGTCGGGTTCGCTTTGCTTCCTAGACCAGGCTTCGGGTTTCAGTTTACGGCGCTCACTGACTCATTCTTTCTCCTGAAACGGCTTGCAAATTGTTGATTGGGTGCATGTTTCCTACCTTAAACCCCAAGGCAAAAACTGACATTCCCGAACCCAAAGCCGAAAGTTGGTTTCGTGGCACGAACGTGTCCCGGAGCCCAGCGTTGCATGATTTTGCATGGATGGTGGCGAACGGCTGCCCACATCATGTTTGGCGCACATGGATTCCCCGGAACAACCTAATCCTCAAGTTCTGAAGCCGGATTCCTGGGGCGCCCGGCTGGAGCAAAGGGCATCGAGGCAGCCCAGACGCTTGGTCCGCAGGAGTTGGATTGCACAATTTGTTTCGCTTCGGATCTTGTGAATCAGCACAGAATCGCAAACAGAAACATGGGCAGAAATAGTTTTCACCGCATCGCTCCGGGCAGGCCGTGATTCGGCAGAATGCGGAGCACATCGCTCTGGGCAGGCCGTGGTCGGCAGAAAGCAGAGCTCTGATTCGATCCAGGGAGAAGATTCTTCCCCAATTAATAAAAGGTCCAGTCTGGCCGATTCCCGCAGTCCCACGAATCAGTGAATCAGCCGATTACAATTATTTACATGTTGAAGAAGCTGTCTTGCTAGCACGAGTTTAGAACCGTCTTACGGCCCCTGCCAGCGCCATCCGTCACCATCATTCTGGCGCTGCCACCCATCGGCCTGCCAGCCCTGACCATCAGTCTGACTCTGCCGCCCAGCAGTCTGCCAGCCTTGGTGCCATCCATCGGTCTGGCCCCACCAGGAGCCATCGCCCCTCTGACTCCAACACTTAATTACACACAGACACAGAAGCTCAGGCAGCCGCAGGAAAAGACTAGCATCACCAACCGCAGCACATGAACCTGACATTGCAAGTTGCTTATTGCAGCAAGTGTCTGGCTGCCACTGCCACTGGGACTGGGATTGCCAGGATGTCCAGTTTTGCTGGCCCTGCTGCTGATGTTGATGATCCTGCAGCCATGAACGCAGACCCTTTGAACCCACACCGAAAAAGGCCAAACCCCTAAAGAACAGCTGTAATGAAACAGCTGAGCAACGGCAGGCGTCTGGCCGCCATCTGCCTGCGGCTGAGGCTGGGGGCCAGCTGTCTGGCCATGATCTCGAGCTCTCGTCTCCTGAGCTCGACATAGCGCAATGTTCTGACTTGTCGACACAACAAAAAATTACCCTGATTATCCTGCAGCCATGAATTTAGACTTTTGAAACCATGAACACCGAAAAAACCCAAACCTCCCAAAAACCAGCTCCAATGAAATGGCTGAGCAACCGCAGGCGTCTGGCCGCCATCTGGCTGCTGCGGCTTGGGGCCAGCTGTCTGGCCGCGGTCTCGCCTTTTGCAGGAGTCATGACACACCTATTTTCGACACGTTTACATCACATCATCTGAGCATCCTTGAAACAACTAAGTGGCGACACACCCACAGACGTGGGACTTTTCCAAAAGCGAATGGTGCGACATGTTGCAGAAGCGGCGGGCGCCAGACTTGACAAGGCCACCACCGCCGCCTCGTGATGCTCCAGTAGCTCGAAGAGGATGTCTTCACAGGGCTTAATTTAGGGGGCTACCTGTGGAGGAAACCCTTTAGGCAGGCCTCGGCCATCCGTGTCGAATAGCTGGCGGGTCGGACCTGGGCGTGGCAGGAACCCTAAACCCTATAAACCCTATAAACCCTATAAACCCTATAAACCCTATAAACCCTATAAACCCTATAAACCCTATAAACCCTATAAACCCTATAAACCCTATAAACCCTTTAAACCCTATAAACCCTAGAAACCCTAGAAACCCTAGAAACCCTCAATGACGGGGGTCCTATGCCGAACTGCCAGACCAAGCCTGTGAAAATGACGAAGCTGCCCATTCCGCAAGACGACATGGTGTGCTGGCGCAACTTTCTGTCGAGGTTTCTGTCCAAGATTTCCGATCCTGACATGCGTCGGGAAGTGTTCGAAAACGTCAGACACTGCTACTTGGCTTAGTAAAGTTCGAGGACTTCAGGCTGTAGGACTACAAGGTTGAGGGCTCAGTCGAGGGGTTTCCAGCTTTGGGCTTTTTTGTTAAGGTTTAGAGTGAGTGGAGAGTTTAGTCAACTTTGGTGCCATTTGTGTTTCTTTCGTATTTAGGGCTTAGAGGGGGGGTGTGGTTAGGCAAGCTCCAGCGGCAGTGGCAGCCAGACCATGACGCAGCCAGCAACAGCAACTCAGATGCTTTATTTTTCAAGTTCTTTTAATCCCCCCCCCTCCCCCTCCCCTTCCCCCCCCCCTCCCCTCCCCCCTCCCCCTCTCCCCCTCCCCCCCCTCCTCACAACGCAGGCACCTGGCCAGACAGCTGCCCCCCAGGCCCAGCAGACGCCAGCATTGGAGCTGTTCATTTTAAGTTCGTTTTGGGGGTTTGGGCTTTTTCCGTGTTCATAAAGTTGTGGGGTCAAAGGGTCTACATTCATGGCTGCATGGGAATCAGGGGTAATTTGATGTCGACAAGAGCGTCCTGCTATGTGCACTGCCAGTTGACATTGAATGTCAACAAGTCCAGTGGCTGAGCATGTAGCATTTCTCGTGAGACCAAGAGGCGGTCACGTAGTTCGGGTCAGAATAGCTGTGACTGTCCT